AAGGAATTTGCAATTTTTGTATCTACAGCACAGGCATTTTATCCAGAGTTCACCAGGAAAAGCCCAAGTGGGGTGCTACAGGGAGGTATGGTTTTTAGGTCTGCTACGTCACTAAGTTAGTAACAGTCAGGGCTGACTGAAGGGTTGCCCCATATGCCACCATCAATGTCTTGTTTGACAAGATAGATGTTGGAAGTATACATATGTCTTAAGTCTAGAATACATATAATGAGGAGTCCAGGATGTAGATAATGAGGTAGAGAAGTGGCTTGGATAGTCCAGTGGGTACGAATATCTTTATGATGCAGTACAAACCAGTTCAAACTAATAATTCCTTCAGATGCAGTTTGTATAACTTCACCAGGGAGAGAGAGAAGTCTGTTGCTGAGGCCCACTCATGAGTAACTGCCAGGCATAATGTCCTTGGGCTGGGGAGAAACTGCCAGGGATAGTGTTTCTGAGGCTAGGGAGAAATATAGTCTTGGAATTGGGGTCCCAGCAGAAGCACCCAAGCACTCCATCAGGAGTATATTCCCCTTTCCCTCTAAACTATCTTGTCTGATGCTCTCATCAGCTCCCATGGGTTTAATTATCATCTCTGTGCAAATGATCTCCATTTGCATATTTTTATCTTAACTAGCCAGCCCTAGCCTCCCTCCTTAGCTCCAATCTCACATTATCTTTTGTAATCCCTTTTGCCTTTTGGATTTCTCAAATCAGAAGTTCTGTAGGCATCTCAAACTCAACATGTCCAGAACAGAACTTACTATCTTTCCCCTCAAAATGTTCCCCTCTTCTGAACTTCTTTATTACTGTTGAGGGCATCACCATCCTCCCAGCTACCCAGACTGCTAACCACAGAATCATCCTTCACCTATCACTCACACCCCACATTGACAATCTATTGTTGAGTTGTTTCCATCTTCACAAGTTATCACATATGTCTGCTTCTGGCTACGCACACTGTCACCTCCCTAGTGTAGATGATCATTATGACTAGTGTAGTAGCATTCTGGTTGATCTCTCCACCTCAAATCCCTCCCCATACCAACCCCTTCCTCTTGGCTGCCAAAGTGCTTTTCCTAAAGTGTGTGTCCAAGCATGTTACATTCACCCCCCTCTTCCCTATACCTCAAGTCAGTAAACTCTGTTGGTTCCATGTTACCTCTAAGAGTGAACATAAAATCTTCATTTTGGCTTTCAAGGACCACCTGGCCATTTCCTGCCTTTCCATTTTGTTTCTACTTTGCCCCCTTCCACATACTCAGTGATCCGGCCATACCGAATGGCCTTCTTGTTCTTCCTTGTACAAAACGCACATCTCTCAACAACGTGCTTTTCACTGGCTGTCCTCCTGGTTCTCCTCTCTCCC